GTATAAATACATAAATCGCTTGTCGTTGATCTTATGATCGGTGCGCATGCACTGACGACCTAAGATCAAGGACTCTCTGTGTGGGGAGAGTGTGTGTGTGTCCCTGTTATATAGGCACATGCGGCGGCATGTCCCTTGGGCCTGTCCTTTTAATGTAGGGATGTCAATACTACTATTGTTCGACCCGTGTCGTTCGTGCGGGTATCGAAGATACCGTTATTTATTTGAAAGGGTTTAAAAATATCGTACATATAGATTGTATACATAATAAAATATTTGTGTCGTCTTTAACAGTCGAATGATGCACATCATTACACATCCCACGCGGAAATGAACGCTAAGTACCAAAACAAAATCATTGGCAGCCCGAATATATCGAACACGCACCCACCAAATCATAAAAATTAAACAACATGGTAATTCAAGAACTAGAAAAGTTCTGTCACCTGGAAAGCATAATTGCGTAAAATAACAAATCCGCCGTTGTCATTAAAAAAAAAAAAAAAAAGGATAGCTTTAGCCAAACAATCATTCATGATGAAATATAGTCTGTTAACTAGTAAGCACTTCAACATAGATATTAAAAAAAAATACATTAAAATATTTTTGTTGAGTGTGTGCTGTTGTATGGATGCGAAACTTAGAATATCAGAAGAAGCGAAAGAAACAATTTAGAATCAATGGAAATGTGGATCTAGAGAAAATGAATAAAACATCATGGGTTTAAAGATAAACAAACGGACAAGTATTAAAAGATGTAAAAGAAAAAAAAGGATATAGTGAAACGTATATTAAAAAGGAAAACGAAAGTAATAGGGTACTTGTAACAGACATAACTAATTTGTAAAGAATATATTCGAAGGAAAGATCTCGGGGAAAAGATAGAGAGAACGTAACATCCTATTCGCAATTGAGAAATGTGGCACATGACAGAGACATATGGCTATTACGACAAGGTGCAGCCTTTAGATGATGATAATGATGATGATGATGACTATTACTAATGTGCTCGGTTCGATGGGAGAATAGCATTGTTAGCTTAGGCGATAACGGAAATTTATCGGAAAATCGAATGATAGTGGCGTGAAGTCGGTGATAGGTGGTTGCCGTAGGGTACGTAAAGGTTTCTATGCAGTCCTACTCTAGCTCTACTTTCTCTCTCCCTATCTCTCTTTTTTTGAATCATGGAACACGAAAGAATAATAATGAATTAGTGGGATATTTTAGTATTTTTATGTGACGATGAGACAAAACCGACTAGCGGCTCTTTACAATAAATCGTGACACAATTCGTTAACGCATGTTCGAATAGAAAGATAAACATTTTTTCCGCGAGCTACTATTGGAAAAAAAGTTCCAGCCGCACGGAAGCATAAATATTTCCTTTGTTCACTTACCATCCACGAGTTCGCTTCAAAAGCATTTCAATAGTATTCTTTATACCAACAGTATTTGTTACATCAGTAGCCACTTAATTAGGACTGGAAAAGAAGACCTACTCATTTTTTAAATCTGATATTGTAGCAATCGGGTTTTAAAAGTTTAGAGCGTGACTTGAAAAGTATGGGAAATATAAAGAAACCTAAACAAATAATAAAATTTTATGTTTTGTTATACAATAAATAATTCAATAAATAAATATGATAAATAAACTATATCTTAATGCAGTTATTTATAGTATACCAGATATTGAACATAAAACTTTAAAGTTTAAATAAATACAGTTTTAATAATTTATTCAACCCATTTTTTTTTTTTTTTTTGTTTTAGTTTGAAATTGTTGTAACATATATTTATAAATAATCTTAGATAATTGTATAGGTTTTTTATATTTATTTTCATTTATTTATAAAATTAAGTTAACTTTAAAAATAAAATGAAAACTAAATAAAAAAAAACATATACATTGTACATAATTATTTTATTAACATTCCATTCGTTTTTTGCTATTCAAGAGTATCCACTAAATGATTGTAGTTAAATTCAACGGTGACTTAATTGATTTAATATAATTTTGTTAAATATCATTAATGATACTGTATTATACTCAATCAAGCCAATTTAAATTTACAATAAACCTTTTTGAACTTGATACAATTATAAATATGTGTGCATTTTTCCTATATATATGAACACATATTGATTAAAACAAAAAAAGTATATACAAGCCAAGTATAAAATTATTTTTTCAGAGATAAAAAATAATAATAATAGTCCCTGTGCTCATAACATATTTAGTTTAAACGAAAAAGTCAATAATGGCTCTCCACAATATGTCTCGATATATTTTATGCAAGCCAATTAATTATACGTATAGAATTCGGAAAAGAGACGACTCAAATACCCGACACGCTTCAAAAACGGTCTAGAAAAGAATAACATACCTATACGTATATATAATATGTATATATTATATATGCGTATATGTATATACATATTATTATATACATATATATATTATTACATATTATATACATATATTTATAACAGTTTTCGAATGATGATGATTCAGCGTCGTTGGACCACATAAACTCGTATTTTTGTGATGTCTGTGCTTTTCAATGTTAAATCGATATTTATTTATAATATTATACTATTCGTGAGAACATATACAAGTAACCGTTTGGCACACACCAAATATTGACGAGGAAACAAAAATAAATGTTTCTCGTAAGAAAGAGCAATTCGTGTTTTCTCTTGGTAACGACTGATATCATCAGTGCGATCCTCAGCAAAAAATAACCTTTGGGGAAATTTTTTTTTTTCATAGACATAAAAGAACAATATAATTCACTGGTTTTAATACAATGCACAGCTCTTATTATAATATTCAAAATATACATTTACGTCTAGTACACAAATATAGGTATTATATTTGTTTTTGTATTTAATACAATAGGTTTCAATTTGTCATCTATTTTCTCACAATATAAACACAAAATTACAATCGGTAGAAAATATAATAGTAAAAAAATAGTTATTCTATACAAAAAAAAAAATCACTTAAATTGATAAAATTATATTCTAATACAACACTTTTAAATCTATTTGTTTTTTTTTTAACTTCAAGCTTGGAACTTAAAGAGCTCCGGAGGTCTGGGTTATTAGCGATTATCGAGAACGGACTCATTAATCCAAAATTAAAATGTATTTTCATTTTCGTGGGAGATCGGATAAATATTATGAGTGAACCAATATCATATCTCTTCAATTTCATATCTAATAATATCAAATAATATTCTCATAAATTGTTTGCATAAGTTTGAAATGTATAATGTATGTGAATGAAGTTTATGGACAATTAACATGATTTTTTAATCTATTCAGGAAAGCTAAGCCTGAACTGTCCAATTACTGTTATATGTTCCTGAATAAAACCATTATCATATACATTCAAAACAATAAGCAATAAAAAAATAAAAATAAAAAAAACATTAAAAGTAAATAGTACATACAATTCATAATACCATTGGGAATTTATTATGATTAATTGATAATCAACATTAAAAAAAAAAAAACACATAATAAGTTATTTATTTTCAAAGAAATATATTTTAGATATAATAAAGTCAAATCAAAAAATACGAAACTTCGAACCTAAATAATATACCATCCGTTTTTAATGGAATTGAGTTAGTATTTCTATCTTTTGTGTAAGTGTGTGTTATTCATCATAATATAATAATACACTCTACGAAATTAAATTGTACGAATGTTATTGGATACGTATAATATGTATACACAGCTATGACAAATAAAAAATAAAATTATTACTACCTACTCAATTCCATTTTATAGAATCACTTTAACCACTATAACGCCTCAATATAATACATTTTATAAAATATATTTTCCGGGATTTTGTCTTTGGTAAATCTAAGTTAGATATGAAGAATAACAACAACGACGCCTACAGATTCTTGTGAATCGTATGTATGACAAACATGTATTTTGAATTCCTATCCCTACTTCCGAAGAAAAATAAAATACCATAAATTAATGAATATGAAGAAAACTGAGGAAATGTAACAAGTATACCGATTTCAATTATATTTATTTGAGTCGTATTTTATATTAATATTAAATTCTGTTTATATTTAAATGTACATAATACGTTCTCGTATAATATGCTTGCTCGTTTATTTATCTATATAATGTTTGCAGAAAGAAGTTGAGATAAATCAACTGTTAACGGGTAGTGCAATGTCATTCCAACCAAGTTGTTAAAACTAAATCGGTTACGATTCAATGGCAACATTACAATTAGACTGGTTCCAAGTTGATACAAGCTGTGCAGCGATTTATGCACTAGGAAAATTAAAAGAAACACGTAGTAATGTATTGGGAAAATGCATCAATGGTGTATTTTTTAACTCATAAATTAATGGGATGTTTTTCGATTAACTCTAAATACTCTGTTATATTAATACTGTTATGTTAATACTCTGTTATAACTGTTATATCGTCAGGATATAAATTCGATAAGATATGATGGGTTTCTATTGTTTGCCTTTTCTAGTGTTTATTAATTATCAGAGCCGTAACTAGGGTGAGGCGAACGAGGCACTTGCCTTGGGCGCCTGAAGCTGAGGAGCGTAAATATATTAAACAATTAATTTATTTTAAGAAATGTTATTTCTTGTTTTGCTAGAAACCTAATTACAATTTTTCAGATTTTTCCCGATCGTATTATACATATTAAAAGCTATCAGTGAGACAACCTTACAACCTAGGAGGCGCATTGCTTCAGTTCTGCCTCAGGACAAAACATGACTTAAAATTGCTTAAAACTGCTACGGCTCTGTTAATTATATACATAATTATAAATTTATATGTGTAATGACATGCGCCTAAGCATTCATATATTGTTAAAAAAAATGAATGTACAATTAAATAACTATAATAATCAGTACACATTAAATATAAGAATAGGTCATATGTACTAAAGATAAAATATGACACACACACACACACACACGTAAACACACACGCGCGCACACATAAAGTTGACATTAAACATAAGGAGCAACATTTTCAAACACTCCACAGACGCGTTATTATTATCTTTTTGTAAAGACGGTCAAAGGCGAGTGTAAAACTACGCAGATTGTCTATGCAGGATATAAGTAATTGTAAAACGTTCTGTAAAAGTTTAAAATAAGTGTATTAATGTGTGTATAAGTAATTTAAATAAAATTAATATAAGTGAGTTAAAAAAAGAAAGTTATTGTCATTTTAAAATATAAATTGGTCGCCTTATTCCACACCTGAAGAGTCAACTACGGTTGTCAAGAGGTAGACCGACACAATCATCGGAGAGGTAATATTAAAAATCAATAATATAATAAATAATGATTTAAAGAAAAACAAATAAATCCTTCACTCATATATTAACATATTATATATGCTTTAATTTTTAAATCACTGCATATGTATACGTAATTTTTTTTATGCATCTATTATTTTTCTTTCTCTTTCGACCTTTTGGTTTTATTCTATTTATTAAATACTACAGTTAAAATTCTATATGCAAACATTTTATTTCAAAGTCGTCATTTTGAATCTCTCTACATTTCCAACACGAGCAAAACTTATAGATGATAAATAAATCATAAATTGCAAATATATATGTATTCGTATATGTGTGTTTATGTGTGTATGTGTGTGTGTGCATGTATTGTACGGGGTAAACGGTTAAGAACACGTAATTTCTTGGCGGTTGACGTGAAAAAACGGATATCCGCCGGAAAACCACGTCACCGGATATTACCGTACGAAAATCGATGTACTTATGCTAGTTTTTATTTATAATTTGCAAAGATGATTAAAATTGAGTAATTCATACACGTGACAACTACAGTTTTGTTATTTTTACATTATGCTTAGCAACATCCTATAACTGATACTAATGAGCAGAGCCGTGCCTAGGGGATTGCGAGAGGTGCGTAACACCGGGTGCCATTAACACTCGGGCGCCAAAAGCTTTTCATAATCTAAGTAAAATTACTGAAAGTTAACCATATTATTTAATTTAAAATATTTAACACGTTTAACGCCATAGTCTCGCGCGTAGTCGACATCATTAATATTGTCTTAATGGTGGTGTTGCTAATTTATTTTTAGTATTGATATTTATTTTCGCCCCGAAATCGACGAGATGACAAATTAATAATAATATACCATTTATAAAATTATTAAAATAATAAAAGATTGTATACAAAAATCAGCCTCGTGAATGAAGTAAATAATTATAATGAGAGCAGATTTTGAAATTTAGAATGCTGAAAGTATTGAATGGGTTATTGAGAGACTAATTAGGATATTGCGTTTGGAAGGTAAGGAAAGGCAGTCAAAAAGAATATAAGATAGAATATAAATTTTTTTTTTCTAAATGGAGCGTGCAAAGAAGGGAACAGTGGCGCAACTTGACGATAAGGGGCCTATGTGAAAATGTCCAGATTTATATTATAATTTATTGTTATTATATTAAAACAGACAACATAATATGTGTATATTATAGATTATAGTAGAAATATTGTAAGGGACAAAGGTAATATCAGAAGAGATCTCGAGGTCCCCCAAAACCGGAGGTCTCTGTGAATTGTACGCCCAATACTCCCGATAATTTCAGCACTGGAAGGGAATCATTAAGATTAAATTTGCAAGCAACATGGTAAGAGACAATGGCCAGTGCGTAATCAGTTGAACCATACCTTCGTCTGGTATAACAGGAACTATAGATTTAAATCTAGAGGCGAAATTTGCGGGTAACTTGTTCAAGTAGGTAGACCAGAGTGAGAAAACATGACGTCGAAGAATTAGTTTGAGTTATATTACTTATATTGTTCTTTAGTCGTTGATTATTTCTTTTATTCATTTAATAAATACAAAATAAGTGGTTACATAAAACCTCATATTCTTAAGTAGTCTCCTTATAATTTAAGCTTAGCTATAATTATAGATTCAAAAATACTTTGTGGAGGGATGAGGGCGCTAATTATGTTAGGCACGGTACTGCCAATGAGTCCACTAGCTTGAACCAGTTGCTATTTACTATGAATACTTTGGAACATCATGTAAAACATGTAAAACAACATATAAATCCACTAACGTCGACAACGTATCAATAACAAAAATTGTTGTAAACTGAATAATAAACGTTTTTAGGCCCGTATTTAGAGGAGGGCACAGGTAGGCACATGCCCGGGGGCGTCAAGTCTTAGGGGCGGCAAAATATTTTAGCAAAATTAATTTTAAAAATAATGTACCTAATGAAAAAAAAATAAAACAATAAAAAAAAAATAGTATGTTTTCCTATGTTATAATTTGTAAATTAAAAAAAAAGAATTGTATTTTTATTATATTATAATTTGTTGATTAAAAAAAAAGAAAATTGTATGTTTTATAATGTTATAATATGTTTAATTTTTTAATTAAAAAATTATTAAACGATTTTCATTTATAAGTTATATTTTAATATTAAATAATCTCGATTATGGACGAAATAATTAGTGTTACCTATATTATTATTATTTATTTTAGTGAGGGGGGCATAAATTATATGCCCGGGGCGCCAAATTTTTAAATACGGGCCTGTATATAACCTATAACAATTAAAACGCACTAGTGTCATCAATTTGACCTTATTTTATTTATTTTAATTATATCTAGTATTTATTATCATATGTAATATGTACATAATCAAATATATCATAATCAAACGTGTGGCTATCAAAAATGTAATGATTTTTATTGGACGTTTCTAATTGCGTTTTTTTCTTAACTTTCATGGCTGACATAATCAACTATAAGATATAGTTAACGATATTCCATGAAGATTAACTTGCATTTTTAAACAGTGGGGATAATTAAAACTCCAACTTAAAATAATTCCTTGGGGTATCTTCTATTATGTTTTCATATATATTATTTATCGTATATACTTAAAACTGTATATATAAATCAATTAAGGTTCCTTGTTCAATCTAATTATAGCTTGTAAATTATACACTTATAAGTAAATTATAAATATCGTCACCTTTTAATAAACCTACATGTGTGTAACTATAAGCCATCGTAGTGAACCTGTGAATTCATGGTTTGAAACGTACAAACTGAATCAATTTTAGTAAAATGGATAAAAAGCAAAAATAAAGATAATAAACATATGAATAATAATATTAATTTTAAGATTATTTTTACGAATTACTTTAGAATAAAAATTTCAAATGTAGTAGTTACTGGTAAAGCTAAAAACCAAAGGTTAATTTTACTTTTCGGAATATCAAGAATAGATAAAACGATACAGTTTTAATGGGTAGTAATGGCACTAATGCTGTTCATCATTAGGTATAATTTAAATGTAAAAACACATTTATTCATTGGTTCGAATGTTATTAACTCGAAATCAACAAACCTATTCTTTTTAGTTAAAAATCAGTTATATTTGATTTCGATATTTAATTTTAAATATTAAAAAAAAATACATCTTTACAAGTAAATGTAACAATTTTTGAAATAATAATTACAAATATTCTTAAATAATACTAATTAAATAACTTTCAAATAATGCTGAAACATAGCAATAATCAAAAGCCGACCGGTCAAGTAGAATGTTCTACAACTGATGAGGTGACCAAAATTATGAATTCATATTTAAATAACAAGGTCGGTTTGTCAGAATTGCATGAAGTCATCAATATCAAACCCACAAAACTAGAAGTGGTAGTCGACCAAGCTCAGTTAAGCTTCACTATTGATAAATTGATGGCTGAAGTATACGATTTGAAAGGTATTTACGAATACTTTTTTTTCACAATTGATTAAACTAAATGTTTTAAACAATAATTTTAAACATATTTTAATCATTCAAATCAAATGTAGTTTTATTTAAATCGTTTAAAAAATGTTATTGAAACAATGTAAAAAAAAAACTGTTGTTAAAACAGAAAAAATAAAATTTTTGGCTTATCAATAACCATCTAGAAGTTTTTATTTTAATTTTCTGCGATAATTAATTATTTATTTTATTTTTTATTGTTTAGTGATTAATTAAGAATTCAATTTAATACCTACATTTTAACTTTTAAGACACATTATACTTCTATTAGTCAATATTGATACTGTAATATAAGTTTTATTAATAAATTATAACTCTCCTGGTAATAAAAATATCTCTAAAAATTAACAGTTAGTTTGAACAATGTGTTCAACATTCTTATAAATAAAGATAAAATAATACAAAACTAAAATTTAAAACAAGTATACGAATTTTAATATATCTTACGAATATAGATTATAACTAATTTTAAGTTAAAGACAACTTAAAATATAATCTATTAATATTAGTTTAGAAAAATTTTAATTACTAATAAATAACATAAAACTAATCAATATTTATAATTTACAATATTAATAACAATATTAGTAAATTAATAGGTAAATATACTTAATGACAATTATTAAATAGCATAATCTAAGAATATATTATGATATAAGATATTACGTCTTATTAATTATAAAATATTTCAATATTTTTCATTTTTAGTTGATTATTGCACCTCTAGGAACGACAGAAACACAAATTTTATTGCGTTACAATATGTCTAACCACAATAATAATAATAAATTAATATTATAATTCATGAATACTATAATATTAATTAATGTTATATATTTTGTTAATATTTATTAGTAAATGGATTTTTCAATAAACTATTATAATATGAAACTATACCTAATGAGTAATAGGTACATAACGAATAATGAATAGTTAATAGACTAGATCAAGTCTACAGTAATCTCAACGTACACCCGCATCGGCCACAAATACTTATAAATTTATAAATTACAATTTTATATACCTACAACAAATAAAACATACTTCTGTTGTACATTTATACTATTCGTATGTTATAGCACAGATAATATATAAGAAATAATATTATTATTCATATAATTTTTGATCATAGTAGTTAATAGTTAGTATTTATACGTAGTTACTAGCTACTATATTATATTTAATTATACTTATTTAAGTTCATATATTATAATATAAATAAACACATACCAATAATTTTATTTCGTTCAAAATTTGATTAAAAAGTGTTCGAAACATATTTTTTATCAACGTTGCTTAATTTACAATTTCTGTAAGTATACGAGTACTGTGTATATATGGTTAGAAATCAGATAACTTTGTTTTCGTTGAATAAAATATTATTTTAACATATTGTTCGTGTTCTGTTATAGTGCATATGGAAAACAGAGATATGATTATGTTTCGAGATATTAAGGCGTTGGTGGATAGAACTGGATGCATAGAAAAGAGAATGGAAATTATTGAAGGTTTGTTAATAATGAATGAAATTATAAATTAATATTTCTGGGAATTCAAAATATTTCAAAATACAATGAAATTTCGTATATTTAGAAACGTGTGGCAGTGAAAAATATGTGAACAACTTAACTGTACAAAATAACAGCAACAAAAAAGGTAACTAGTTGTACTAGTTTATGATTTTTTTAAAACCTGAAAATTTTTTTTTATTTTTTATTATATATATATATATATATATATATGAATGGGCTAAGAGCCCAAAAGTACAACACAATTTATAATATATTAACTCGATTAATGAATATAATTTATACAATTCTAATTTCGATGTTTAGTAAATGAATTGACGTTTAATAATACTATTTTGTCCAACGAGTTGGATATACTACGAGATAAACTTACACTCGTGGAAAGAAGAATGCGAATCATTGAAGGTATAAATGAGCATAATAATATAATTATTAATACAATATAATTAAAAACACAAACATTTCAAGCTCTGGGTAAAACATTTTCTGTGCACTTATCTAGAATCTAACACAGAAACAATAACATATCAAGATGAAAAATACAAACGCCTAGTTGAAAAATTGAATGCTTTCATAGATATTTTTTCAAAGACGCCGACAATAAGCGATAATTGTAAATAAATTATTATTTCATTATTTTTTCAAATTTAATCAATATGACCAATATATTAATACTACACTAGCTATTCAACTTTCATCTGATATACAACCAATTTATGTAAAAGAATTTAATTACAAGATCGATAAGCTTCAAAAATCTATAGACACAATAATGAATGAAAATAAGTTATTGGTTCAGTCTAACAATAATATAGTCAAAAAAATGAACATATTAGATTCAAAATTAGTTGAAACTCAAAGTAAATAAATTATTATTAAAACATATTATTGTATTTTTATTAGTCAATTAAAACTAAACAAATAATTTATCTAATTTTTAGGCATTGGACGTAAAACATTTGTGCATAAAAATAATTTCAAGACGTTAAAATATAACTTCAATAAATTCAAGAATCTGTACAACGATTTAGATGTTATAGATCGCTTACAGGCAATAGAAAGTAATATGGCACATATTTATTATATTATGTTTATGTGAAACTATAATAATATATTCAATGAGCACAACGTCTTTATGCGTTTAGAAAACATACATAACGAGAAACCCGAAAAATTAATTCGAAAATACAACAAATTGAAAATGCGACTCTGTTTAATTGAAAGTAAGTCTTAATATAAGTACTACTTAAATTAACTATATAAATATATTGTACGTTTACTTAAATTATTTTATGACTTTAATTTTGAATTTCATAGATGAAATTAACACAAATTCCCATCAATATCTTCAGAATATGATTCTGATGTCAACTGCGAACATGGTAAGAGACAATACAAATTCCATGGCGAATGTCCTTTATGAAAGAAACTCCCAAAAAGTCCTTTCACCAATTCCAGCACTACCCCTAGAACCTCAAGAAATGATCCAAGAGATAAAAGACGTTGATGAAATTGTGGACAATAATATTAGCAAAGAGATTTCAATAACGATTAACCAAAAAGAAAACCTTTTGTCTTCATCGAATTCAAATGAAAATATTTCAATCTATATACCTTCTCCACCTCCATTACCACCTCCACCTACTATATTTTCATTTGTCTGATACTTACAGCCCTTGAAACGCTTTGAACATGCATCCCTTTTTTTTCGTTATCTAACAATCTATATCTATAAATATCTAACTATCGTAACTACAGAGTATTGCCAGAAAGCATTGTTCATATGGCGTATCATGAATAAGTACCACGGTGTATTATACGCAATTGTTAACTTCTTACTCAAATTGTTAATAAATCCTCACTAACTGTGCTATTCAGTGGCTAACTATGTTACCATTTTGTGTTCAACGGCGCATAGCGAGTAATCGCGTCGTGAGACAAAGTGCTGAATTAATGAATAGGTTTAGAAGTTGATTCAATTTTAATAAAACTAACATATACATAAACTAGTTATTTTGTTTTTTCTTATTTCTGACAACGCTTGACAATGTAGATCAGGTTTTTACATAATTAAAAAAAAAATGCACCTCGTGCTTTATCTTATACTTTTACAATACAGACATATCATTGTAATTTAATATTGGCTAGGATGGTTAGAGAAACTTAGACAATCGTATAATACATTTCTTTATTATTAAAATATAACTGTACTAGTCGAACGTGTACTTTGAAGTATCATTCTTTATGAAATTTTAAGTCTAAACATTACCAAATAAGTCGCTAAACCGATCTAAAAAAAAAAAAAATCACGAGTGTAATAAAAAACGAGAACGTAAATTTTAATTATAAGAATAGTCCAATGGGTTAAATAAATGTGTTTTTGTGCAGATTAATTTTAAGTGTTATGATGTGCATCATTCGTCATTGTCACATATTATAAATAAATAAATAACGACTCTTTCGGCACGCGCACAGAAAACACAAATCAAACAATAACGATACACCACGGTGATCTTAAATAGGTCAACACTAAAAAGAGACCGCCTCAGATCAAATTACAATCCTAATGTTATCTATTACACACACGTTAATCAGATTTTTCGAGGAGCTTCTCATGGCAAGTCGTGACCCCATGCTCGCTCATCAACTGTCAACTATCCCATTTTTTTAATATTTAAAATAAAGAAGTTCTGTCTTTCATGTACGGTACTTATAGACGCGATACGTCTCGGAGCTGTAATGTTGATACCTGTTAAAATTGGTGTCCATTATTTGATAACGTATTATTTTCTGCGCTCTATCCGCTGTTATTTTTGAACGTTCTATGAAATCCTGCGGTGGAACCGGCAGTGGTTTTGTTCTAATGAAAACACTGGATTACAGAAAACCTTGTGCACACTCTGCTTACCTTTTTTGGGGCGAAATAACGTCAAAAATCGAACTCGGAGTCTCTCGCTTGCCGGGCGATTGCTCTATCACTGAGCTACCCGAACGCACCTAACCTATGACGCTATCTCCCTCAGTTGACGAGAGTCTACATTCGACCATCCTGTCGTCCACGATCGCCATCCGTCTTTACCGTCACCCATCAAGACTATTATTTCACCACCTGACCACTAGAGTGCACGACCCGTAAGCCCAACGCAATCGTCTCTGAACGACCTTTGGTGGACCAAATCCAGGTCTTCACAACGCATCACACCTTATCCTTCAGTCTTGATCCCACATCTAAATTGGTAGGGGAACGCAGTGTCATGAAAAACACAATGGTACACAACGATTTAAATAATAATTTTATTAAATAACGACGCGTCTCGCGAACAATAAAGTAATACTTAATACAACGGTTCCCAAAAACAATTACGGAACCCTTAAAAAATAGTTTTTGTTTCACGGTCATTAATGTCATAGTCTTAAATGTCTAATTATTTAATGTCTTAAATTGCAAATCAACTCTAATTTTTCTAAAAAAATAATAAAATAAAAGAAAATCAACACCCTAAACATTTTTTTTTTAATAATACTGTTAATGTACTATTTATTAAAATTAGTTTAAAACACAATTTTTTTTAAATAATATAAAATAAGTTTCTCGATAATCACATATATTTGGCGGAACCCTTAGCATTGTCCCACGGACAGTTTGAACACACTTTGGGAAATGCTGACTTAATATATAACTAACGGCAGTCGATAACTGGAGTGCTAACGTCTTGCATTGCGAAAATTATTAGTTATAAAGTTAAATTCAAATTACTATTTAAAAATGTAATATAATCAACATTTTTAGGGTGAAGTCTGTTCCGACGGTCATTATTTGTTCCGTTTTTAAAACACGCGTTCTGGTGGAACAGAAGTCTCAGTAGCAGATAAATATTTTAATTGAAACGTATAAATTCCAGGAAATATATTTTTGTATATATGTATATATATATATATGAGTTTTTACCATAGACATAATATTACTATATTATGTCTGTGGTTTTTACTACTAATTTTTATCATATGAATATTTTGTTTGATTAATTCGTTTGAATGATTCATTCGATTATTTTATTATTCGAATAATTTATAGTGATTTAATGAATATGGATCAAACATGCTTTAAAGTAACAATGCATAAAAAATAAAAGAGTACATCAAATTTCTTTTGACTTTTGGTATAATTAGAAAATATGGCAAGTATTTCAATGCATTATTTCATTAAAAATTGACAGACAAAGGTAAATGCTTTTTTTTGGGTACTGATAAAATTCTATAATCAGGTGAATCGATTTTAATTACATTTTTTTTTTTTTAAGTAAATGATTTTTCTTATAGTTTCATCATCTATAGGAACTGTATTCATTGTAGATAAAATGTTCACAGACAACAGAAATTATGAAATAGGATTTAGATAAAATAATTAATAAATGTACATACATATGTTATTTTTTTGTATTAACATAGTTAAAAATGTTACATTATAGGTAAATTAAATACAAACTAACATAAATACATTACACAGAATTACAGTTTTATTTTTTTTAAAGCAAACAAAAAATATTTTACATATATCATATATGAGAACAGGAAAATAATAAAATACATGTTATATAATACAATTAATGAAGTACAGAACTTATTTAAAATATATTTCTTAATAAATAACATAACATTTACAAATATATTATAATATAATATTTACAAATTATTAAATATATGTAATTTTATATTTTTTCTTATTTTTTCAGATACTTATGTCCAATCTAAAAATGTTATTGCTGCATAAATCCTAAACCTTATAAAATAATTTAGTAAATAGTCTTAGGGCCCGTATTACAATAGTGGTTTAAACTGCAATCGAAGTTTAAATCTGGGTCAAATGGAAAAGACCGCATTACAATAGAATAACCATAGTTTAAACAGAAGTTAAACCACTGATTGTCAAACCATCGAATCGGCGAGTTAATTTTGGTTCAGAGATCGAACTGCGATTTCATTGGTTGTAAATTAATGATAACGAACAGTGATATTATCATAACTGTTAATTTGAATTTTATATTCTTATGAATAAAAAGTTATAGCCTAAAACCTTATTTTGTAAATTTCATTATTTCAACAAAGTTTTTTTTTATGAGTTTCAAGTTCTCATAACTTTTAAATTATGGAAACTTGTGTGGAAAACAAACGCACTCCTAATTTCTCAAGACAAGAGGAAGATGCTTTGCTGCAACTTGTACAAAAGTACAAGAATATGCTGGAATGCAAAACAACAGATAGTATTCAAAACAGGTACTTACATTATTTAAATTATTATAATACCTATATAATATAATGACATTTTCGATTGTATTATTTTAATAGGAAAAAAGAGATACCTGGAGTATGGTAGAAAATGATTTTAATTGAAATTCTGAAGGAATTGTATTCCAAACTAGGATAGTATTGAAAAATAAATATTTAAATTTAAAAAAAAACTGCAACAAAAAATTGGGGATGAAAAGGCAGGTATCAGAGGTACTGATGGCGGACCCTACCAAAAATTGGAGAACGGTAACACAGAAAAAAAAAATGGTGTGTGAAATATTAGGCGAAAACGATTAAAAAAATTGTTCATCTCTCCACTTCGTGAAATGATTGGGCCGCTCAAGAAACATTCTTTTTCTAGGGAAAGCTACAAGTATCGCCAGTTCAACGAAATCTTCATCGTCTGTTACATCATTTTCATTAGCAGACATTGTAAATTTTAAAAGTGTAACTCGAATATTGAATAATTCGAATATAACGACAACAAAATTAAAACAAATCTATCACTTATCACATCAAAACATTGACAATTTCATTCATTAGATAGTGGTATTAATCGTATTTCAGAAATAATCGGTTTAATCGCAGTTTACCCAAACAAACGATTGTAATACCGACAGTAAGTTAACCTTGGTTTAGATTAAAACTGAAGTTCTGCTGAACTCAAGTTAACCTAGCTATTGTAATACGGGCCCTTAATGAAGTAGTAGACATGGGTGGTTAAATATAATATAATATATATAATAATATATAAATAAAATATAGTCATACTTAATTTTAACTTAATACCTATTTCTTTTTTTTATACAGTTATAGAAACCTATTTATAAATGTTTTTAATTAATTTATATATTCATAAAATTTTGGTTGTGGCATTATTAAATTTACATATGTTGATTTTTCTACACTTTCATATAATTTAAACTAAATAAAAATGATTCATCCAAATTGTTTTTGACTTTTGGCATAATTAATACAAATATCGCAAGCATGTTTTACAGTGCATTTTTTTATTAAAAATCCCTAGACATAAGTAAATGCATTTTTTTCCAATGTTGATAAATTTCTATAATCTGGTGAATCAATTGAAATTACATTATTTTTAATGTAAATGTTAATGTAATTGGATTTTTTTCAAGAAATAATATTTTTAAATTTTCGTCATTAATAGGAACTGTATTTCATCTAAATATGCTAAACAGTTTGCATTATCAGAGCAACTAAAATAAATTGAAGACAAATTTTTGGTTAATGACTAAATAAATTGTATGGGGGTCGGATTAATATTATTACCATTATGTTAATTTCGAAAAGCACCAAATATATTTTCCAAACAATCCGGGTTGATTCTATTTGTATACAGAACATAATTTTCATCAGTATTATAAAGTTTTAGTGACTCCCACAGTTGAAACAAACCAGAAATTGAGATTAATCAACCTCTAATAAATTTCATTCAGTTTATCACTTCAACATCTGTTTTTTTGTCAAAACTTGTAATTGTTTAAAAAAGTTGTCCATGAATTTTAGGTATGTTATTTGTGCATTAGTATTTTTGAATGGTTAGTTTTGAAATATTTTAAGCCAGGACATTTAGATGAATTAAATAATGTACCATCAGAACGTTAGTGTAATAACTCGAAAAATGTCAATTTTGAGTTACACGTGTTTTCTTATTATAAAAAATACGTTCTTTTAAATGCACTAGTATATTTTAATATAACTACTTATATATAATATATATATATATACTATATACCTATATACTACAACTTTTTTCGAAAGAAATTTCTCATCCGTTAATCAGTTATCATTGTTTAATACATCAAGAAGCGTTGTGTGCTAAAGACAGCTTGAAATCGCTTCAAAATGTAATGGAAGTAGT